TTCATAATATTACATATATGATAATTGTTGAGATATTTATTCATTTTAGCTATATACAAGCATATAATTAAAGAGACGAATGAAATTATTATGTTCAAAATAAATTAAAGTGATTTAATTAACAGAATAGATAAATAACTATTTAATCATCTCATTGATCATTAGTAAAAAGATATTTGAAAAAAATTTTTCTCAAGATTATTTCTGATAAATTTTTTTTCTATATTTTCAATCTGAGATTCAGAAGTTTTGATTGAGATCATGAACCGATTGGTGTTAGACCACCATTGAAAACTCGGAAGTACTGAACGGCCGTTTCGTCCTATTGTGCGACTCCTCACCAGTGCGTATCCATAATACGGTTTGCGGGATTCGAACCCAGGGCCTTCAGCCTCGCGCGCGAACACTGAACCACTGAGCCGTTACTCAATGGTGTTAGTGTCTAACCTCAACCAATCCACGAAATTGCGGGACCATCTTCCATTGTACTGAATTAGATACCTGTTTCTACCCGACACCTATTAGCTGCACTGGTCACGGCTTCTCACCAGAACTCCGAGAATTTTCTCACGAAGTTAGTCACTAGTGAGAACATGGTAATTATCAGTGTAGGCGTTGTGGGAATGGAAGACGGTCTCGCAATTTCGTGGATTGGTTGAGGTTAGACATTAACACCATTGAGTAACGGCTCAGTGGTTCAGTAGGTTCAGTGTTCGCGCGCGAGACTGAAGGCCCTGGGTTCGAATCCCGCGGGCCGGATCATAGATGCGCACTGTTGAGAAGTCCCACAATAGGACAAAGCGGCCGTTCAGTACTTCCGAGTTTTCAATGGCAGTCTAACATCAATTGGTTCATGATCTCAATCAAAACTTAACAATCTCCAAAACCCTTACACTGATCCAAGAGTTTGTTTGTTTCTACGAAGAATAGTGATGGTTAATATTTCAAAGTATATATATATATAACGGAATTAAATAAGTCAAATACAAGAATGAATTTAGAATACATATATTTCATAAAATCTCTGATCTAGATAAAATATAGGAGAAGCGAATGGAATAGAGCGAAGAGAAACGAAGCTCAGTGGAGAAGGTATGTGAGCCAACTTCATTTAGTCAAGCGTTAATCAATTATAATAATTATCATAGATCACTTATAATTGTCAATGGCCGATATTTTAAAAGAATATTTGTTTTGGTTGATTGTGCACAAATTCTTCATATACATTGAATGAGACTTTTTTAAAATCATAGACTGACATTATTTAGAAAACTATTTAGTGGGTTATTTCTCTTCATTTGATACTTATCAATAATATTTAGTGCTTGGTATATACATTTTATGTTTGTTATAAAACAGTTTACTGACAATTATGTTGATTAAATAATATACAAAATTATACAACCTATTTTGCTTAAATCTAAAGAAAGTTTACTTTTTTTATAATAACTCATCAATTAAATTGAAACGGAATAAAAAAACAAACAGATTCATATTATCAAAATTAAAACTATTCATAATTAGTGATAAATCATTTTTGTCTATTTATAAACATTCTCACATTTGTAGTGAAGGAGAAGATGGCTTAACGATTAAACAGACTTGGATCCGTATCATTTATTTACATCAATAAGATGTTTATTCTCAATGTATTTGAATTTAATTGCACGAAAAATATCTAACTGCAAATTTATCGAAAATTAATTATTTTATAGTTGGATTTATAAGTCATGAGACAGCTTCAATTGGCTTGTGGATTCAACTATAAAATTACTAAAATCTCCACAAACTCTCATTCTGATAAGAATCATAGTATGCTCACTAGTGACTGGATTCCAGAGGTGTTTCCTGCAGTTCTAGTGAGAAGTAGTGACCAGTGGAGTTCAACCAGGTTTTTTGTGAGATAGTAACTCACTGAAGACAATGGAGGACGGTGGCTCCGTGTTTTTATATTCTTTCCAAATTTTTCGCTTAATTCTACTTATTTTAATGAATTATCTTATCATCTACACTCTAAGGTTACATTGACACATATTGAGCAGCATTTATTTACAGGTTGCCATTTCTCGAGAATTAAAGACACACTCAGGAGGTAATATTCACCATTCTCAACTCGACATGCTGTGGGATATGATTGTACTATAACTGTGTAACAATCTTCCGATCTACAATAACAAGGTTACACGCACCATCGTATTTGTATTAGCGCTCTAAAGTTTTAATACATCAAAAAAACACGGCTTTAATCTTACTTAAAGAACGCTATCGTCACGGATTAAACTTAGTTGAATAACCTCATCTACATGCTTTATCTGTTAAGATGAGTTAATTTATCCTGTATGTTGCATTATTTTACTTCAAGCTGTATACGTGTAAAGAAAAGTTTTACAAACAAAATGAACTCATCATTTTTTGTGAAGTGTTTTTCTTGCTTCATTTTGTCCTTTCACCATGTGAATTATCATCTCAACTCCTATTATAAGAGATCTCATAGCCTACTCATTCGATTAGTCAAACTGATAACTATAAGTTAACTACCTTTGAGTGATTTAATAAGTTTTCAGTAATGGCAGTGTGTTTATGTTTTGGACATAGATAAAAGCTTAAAGTTATGCACATTGCATAAATTCTATGTCAAATACATGTAAGTAAATTAATAATCACAATAATTCTTCTAAGTAAACACTTATGGACTCACAAGTTCTAGTAATGTATCAAATAAATATTGATCTTAAAAACGCTGAAATCTTGAAACTCGTGTTTTTTGTTGTTGTTAAAACGGTCATAGAGTTTCATGCAATTGGTTCCCTTTGTGAATTTAAATAAGGGCGGAATGAACATTGATGCAGAATAATATGAATTCACTATATTTCATAGTTCCTCATCAGCTGCTTACAACCAAATATGTATTAGAATGTTACATTGAGGTAAGATACAGTGTGGAACAATTGACATAAGTGAATGTAAAGAATCGAAATGACAAAGGTCATTAATAATAACTTTATATATATGCAAGAACAGGTCAGAGGTCATTTGGTGTTAAAACCAAGGAAACATTAGGGATGGGTGATGTAATCGTTGAGTGAAGTTCAGAGACAGATGAGATTAATTATGTGATAATTTTAGAGTTAATGCACCAGCTAGATTGTGGAAAGATATTCGACCTCTAGACCGATTGAACTACTCAGAAATTCCCTTATTTTGTTTCACTCATGCTTACTTTCATGGAAAAAAGCTCTGGATATAAAAACAATCTGAGATATGGTTATGATAAACTATTCCACGTATCCTTTGAAACAGTGGTCAATATCGATTTAATTAGTGTTAACTGTATAGATTACTTTGACAAACTACAACATCAGAGTAACATATCATATTTCACTTTGGTAATGGCCTTAAACCAGTGAATATTAAAACAAGAGAAAAGGATCCGGTCGCTATCATTTGTCTTTCAGGATTGAAAACTCATATCGACTACATGCTTCACTAGTTACTGCAACCGAGTGCTCTAAAGCCTTTTAAGAAATCACATCTCGCAATTTCTGAAGTGACCATTATGAGTGACTATCATAGTAACTTGATACGTGACCAGTACTACTTGATAGGAGGGTGAAAGTAGTTAAGCGGCAGCAACCTACAAACCCACTGATTTTATTTCAACATTCTCGGGGCAGACATAATGTGAAAGAACAAACATCCAATGTATATAATTCAAATACTTCATCATGACAAGAGAGCCATGTTATTGCAGCTAATTAGCTTATATAAGTTAAGGATATGAACAACATTAGTTTATAGACCAATCAAACATTTTTTATCGAAAAATAATTTTAGCTATCTTGAATGTCCTCAATTTCTGTACAGGTGAAAGAATTAGGTCATATCTTATGAACTGGAAAGATGTCATTTCCCAAGTTTGAAGTCAGCTGAAATTGTGTTAGTGTGGTGTGAGCTACTTATATCCAAATGAGTAGCATATAACGGTGGTCAATAATAGAATGCATTTCAGTAGGAGATCGAGAAGGAAAGAACGGGAACGGAAAGCAATTGGTATGAAAATACAGGAACAATGAGATCTAAGACGATGGACTTATATTTGCAAAATAAAAAGTCAAGTTTGAGACAATTGACTGATATTTTGCAAATTAAGTATTTACTGTATGGTTCTCAGATTTTACCAAGTGACTCTGTAATCTCGTGTCCAAACACATTCGATTGTCACCACCCGTATCCTTGTTCACTACACTAGGAAGCTTCTACTCCAAAACCTAAGGTCAACTTATCTTTATGTGCATGAAATTCTCCCTCTATCTCTCAGAGACCAACATGATCGTATGACATAGGAAATAACAGGTTTCATGCAACTGGTTCCCTTTATGAATTTAAATAGAGCAAGAACAAACATTGATGCAGAATAGTATGAATTCATATTATTTCGAGGTTTCTCGTCAGCTGCTTACAAACCAAAATTGTGATAGAATTTTTACATGGAGATAGTGTGAAACAATTGACATAAATGAGTGTAAATAACTTGATTACAATAATAACTATATATATATATATATATGCTAGAAACAGGTCAGGGGTCAAAAGAGGGGGTTAATTCCATTAATCTCTGCAATTATCACACAATTTATGGACTTCACTAAATCATTACACCACCCACCCTGGATTAACCCCCTCTTTTGACCCCTGACCTGTTTCTAGCATATATATATATATATAGTTATTATTGTAATCAAGTTATTTACACTCATTTATGTCAATTGTTTCACACTATCTCCATGTAAAAATTCTATCACAATTTTGGTTTGTAAGCAGCTGACGAGAAACCTCGAAATAATATGAATTCATACTATTCTGCATCAATGTTTGTTCTTGCTCTATTTAAATAACAGGTTGCTCAACATTTCCTGGATTCAAATTGGTAAAATCTTCAAAAAAATGAATCCAATAGCAAAATTTACTTTTTATAACAAAATATTTTTACAAAGTTAATATTATTTTTTGTTTAAATTATCAAATATAAAACTATTGAAATATTCTCTGATTTTATGAGACAATTGTTTTTTCACGTTTTCAGTGCAAAACGCCATATTCACTGAGTCCATTAAGATTTGAAATAATTGTTCATTATTCAAACAACAACGTTCAACAGACAGTTGAAATTCGCCTGATAGCGTACAATTAAATAGGCCTTTATCATCCGTCTATAAGAATAAATAAAAACGGTAAATTATGAAATAACTCCCAGAAATTGTGATCATATACATCAATTATTAACATACTATAACGATATAGCAGCAAATGCTATTAGAGAACAAACATTCTCAATGTCAACTTAGGAAAACTAATTGACTAACTATTGCTACTATCCAGACGTTTTATATTCATCAAACAAGACACGGATACTGTAACTTTATAAACTTGCGGATTGTGATATTGTTTGAAACTATACGTTTTAAGTTCGAATAGTGAAGAAAATATTCGCTAAGACCCGATAGCACGCACTATTTAAGTCTGCTGATCTAGTAATTAAAGTATATGACTTTCAACCATTATTGGGTTTTTAGTTCGAACGTCACTCTATTTAATACAGTATAGGTAGCTGAACAGTATCCTTAGCTCTTACAAGACAAATATGGTTCAAAGCCATGCATAAAAACGTGTTTATTTAGTGATATTCACTATTTGCATATATCTAACAAGCTCCGAATAAGGGACGAGACTTATGCTGTCGGTTATGCTCCTAACCACTCATGAAAATTATTGGGATGATGATGAATTTATTTTACACTGAGAATCCATAAACTCATGCAAAGCGAGTAGCGGTAGAAAAGTCATTATATTTAGGTAACCTTGATGCTTTGCAAGGTTAATCATGTATATATTTTACTAAAATAACAAGATAAAATCCATAAGAGCGAGTAGTATATCTTGGGGTTACTAGACTTAGCGAGGCATATATGATGTGTAATAATAAATTTATTGGCTTAAAATAATAAACCTAATGGAAATCGAAGACCAAATTGAAATTAACGGATGCATCCACTAACAATAATTTCTATAGCAACATCCTTACAATGGGTAATAATCTAAAAACATGCAGACAGTCACATATAAGGTTGCAGGTCATTAAAAATCATCAGTAAGTAGAAATTAAAGTGTTTGAACAAGCTACATTTTACTTTTAATTTAAGTGTTTCACTGTAAAGTAACACTGAACACGCAGTCTTATAAGACGAAACTTTTAGATAAAAAATAGTTCAAGTATGGATACAATTGCTTATGATCTACAAGACAAAGCAAAAATGACTGAATGAGAAGTTAAACTTTGTGCCTATGTGGTTCTAAAGAATAAAAACTAATTATAAAACAAATTTGGTTTAAAAAACAAACGACTAATTGCTTGAACGAGTACACTGGTTCTGTGATGCCGTTCATAACACAACTATGAATAAATGAAGTTAAACAACCATGATAAACAGGCATATATTCCAGTTGAAAACTAGTTTACACTGAATTGGACTCATTAAATCCATACTTTTCTGAGTTTCCATTTTTGGTAAACAACATTCGTAGGAGAAAATAATTAATGCATATAGAGTGATCATTGAAATATTTCCCTCCATAAGCTTGACTCGTAAGATTGCTTGTTTCTGTTCACGACTAATTATAATTCACTTTTGGAGAAGTATAAAAAGTTGGCTTAGGATAAAAAATATTTGCTCTTACTTAATAAATCGTACTAACCACCCAAAACTGGATAAATACAGATATCACTTAGAATTCATTACTCAACAACACCTAATTGTCAAAGGATATGGTAATTCAATCTGATGGAACTTATATCAATTTTCCCACTTAATCTGTAATGTTTTTAGAGATGCAAACATAAAGCATCTACACTTTAACATCTCAACTAACTTGAGAAATTTTCAGTGATACATTCAACCGGAAAGTATCGTGTTTTCAAAAATGCTTCGTGACAATAGGATGTAAGGGTAACCGTGGATAGTAAACTATTTAATCAATACATATCGTATGTACGTAGGATAAATATGTAAAGTCGATAGGATAAGAATAAGTATAACCGACTTACACAAATGCAAATAGGATGTTTCTTGTCCATCCAATAGTTTAGATGATGAGATTCATAGTTTTCAATAGCTTTCGACTTAACATTTGATGTCAAGCATAATTCTATTTTAAAAGATTTGCATTTATAAAAAAAAACTTGATTTGAATGAGGTATAAAGTGACAGATTATTTTATAATATTGATGTACCTATTCAACAAAAATGTTTATGTTCCATTTAAAAAATAGTGATACAACAGGTTAAAATCCAGTACTTTAAGAGTAAGAGTAAAGTAGCTAGATTTATTCTAACAGTATCATTGGTTTTTAAACAATCCGAATTCCATAGAACAACCAATACAAATGAAATGTTTATGAAATATATCCGATGAAAGTTAAACGGAGCTCTCTGTGATATCATATTAACATTATCACTTGTATTTCTAGCTAGGCAATTCAGAATGTCAGAAAAATATATAAACATCTAATTTTACTGATAAACTCGAAATTATTATTATTATTATTATTCAGTCAGTCAGTAACAACGTAGAACTTCGTACGTACGTTATTATTATTATTATTATTATTATTATTATTATTATTATGATAAAAAACATTGAATTGAGCGCTACAAAAAAGAGTTCTGGCTAAAAGATGAAATGAAAAATGCGTAAGTACGAACAAGTACAGAATGAAATGTTGTGTATACGATCTATACTTTCATATAAATATAAGTTGCTTTTTTCTCAAGTATCATTAGTCTGTTATGACACATGTGTTACAACGAAATGAGGGAGAAAACAAGTTCATTTGTGACTTATGGTAACATCATCTATATCATATTGACATCGTGTTCCTTTAAGACTACTAACTCAGTACCGTGAAAATTATATATATATATATATATATATATATATATATATATATATATATATATATATATATATATATATATATATATATATATATATATATATATATATATATATATATATATACTTTTCTATCAGTCTTTTGATAACATTGTAAACGAATGTGCTGCAAATCAATCGACTAACTTGAGTGGGCGAAGATTAAGTCAATGCAAATTTGGTACTTATATTGGTCTCAAAAATGCTAATAAGATTCGGTGCCCTTCACGAAATAGTAACTTTATTAAACTTAGTGGGGATTTAAAATACCTGCCAATAAAGCTGTAGAAAAACAACCAGTCAGCAATGTGACAGAATACTGACTACACCAACTGAGTAACGGGATAGTATTGAGCTGAATGGAATGCGAACATCGGATCCCTATTTAAACTCAAATACTAATTATCCTATGCAAGTCGGCAACCAAGCATAGGTTTATATACTGGAGTTTGAATGTGCATCTTGTGTGAGGCCTAGTGATATTACAGGACTATACTAAATGAATTGAAGGGGAATAAAAACCTGATAAACTACTACAACACTGGATTGGCTAGAGATCGCTAAATAGTCAGACTTTACGTAAGCTTACAGGCCATTTAATAACTAATCCATAAACCAAAGTAGCAAAACGTAGTAGAGATTATAAACACCTTGACTGCTAACACACAAGAACATGAACACGAAATAACATAAGGCAGAATTGCATAAGTTCGTAGTTTCTAGAATGATAGTTTACAGTAGTTTGGATGTGTTAGTATCCAATAAGTCACTATTTCTTTGGCGGGAAAATTACTTCAGTTTTAAAAAACTTCCCTATAGCATGTTCGGAATAGTTGAATTACATATCTATCACACGTAAAAAACAATACCCATCTCCGAGGTTTAAGTTCTACATATTGATCCTGGGGAGTTGAAGTTTTTGACTAAGTTTAGGAGCCGTTATTGTTGAGATGATTCAGGTGTCAAATACATGTTTTATATATACTTGGCTTTACGTGACAAATTTCTTGTGAAAGCCAGTGATATAAGAATCGACAACTATGTAGTTGGGAGTCGGTTGCATTGACCTCTAAATCAATGCACCAACTACTCAGTTACTCTTTAGTTTCGATAATTAGCTTTACTAATACTGACTATTCAACAATGGAAAATAAAAAATTACAAAGTATACTTGATAGATATTCTTGTTAGTGAACTGTTTGGCAACAAGCTTATTGACAGATAATTCCCATGAACGCTCATCATATCAGTTTATTTTTGTACACCTCTATGACCTTTAATTATTATATCAAAAACATTTTAATCATCTTATTATATTCACCAAATCCATTGTTATTGTTATTATTCATATTACGTAATCTAGTATTATAACCCCTTTTTATTAACTGTGTTCACATTTCCTCACGGAATTAGTACTTTTACAAAAACAAAATTTTCATATATATACGATTGTACAGCTTGATAATAAATTCGTTGAAAAGAGATCCCTTCGCTGAAACAAGCTTATTAACAATAAAAATGAACTATACCTAAAGGTATTTGAGATTTCAAAACAATTTCTCTTGCTAAAACAGAATTCGCATCTGAATTGGTCAAAAATATTCCGTGCCCCAGTCGATCTGGCAAATGAAGTCTAAGAAATTTACACCAATCTTCACTTTGATCAGCTGTTTCAGCTATATGTACTGTTGTTTTTAAACCGTACGAACGAGCTGTATTAAGAACTGAAACGAAATCACATAAATTTCCTACCTGAAACAAAAATCAACATAGGTTGAAATTATTGCCAGTTGTCTTGTATACTGAATTAAACAACAGTTTCTTCCAAGTGAATGGAAACCTTCATAATAAATAAATTAAATCTTTGAACATGTTTGAATGGAAGTTATTCAATTTGTATAAGGTCAACAAAGTATTCGTGAGATGAACATGAAAACTTAACAGTAATTTCAACTTTTAAGTTTAGTTTACATTTATACGTTACATATTATCTATCATAGAACAATCTGTATTAATCCCCACATATTATAAATCATCAACATTGTTTTACTTTACAATGGCATTAATTATTCATAAACAGGAAGAAATAAGCATGGCAAGTTTATTACCTTAACGTTGGTAACATATAACTAGTCATTTATGTAGTGTCAATACCAAAAATAACAATAAAACAAGATTATAACGCTTCTGAAGTTTGAAGCAATAAATTCTTTGTCGATGTGTTGTTTTGTATATTAATTGTTTAGGTACACATAAAACGACTATTAAACAAGTTCATACAACGTATACGACCATATGACCAGTGGATTAAGGACTAAGACTATTAAGCCAGACAGTCTACAGTGATGACTTAAAATGAAATTGATCTAATAAAATATACGGATCAAGTAGTTTCTTAGAAAAAAATGTCAGTATTTAAACCAAGATAACCAATTTTACGTGGGACCTATGTAGAATACAACAGTCTACAGATGTAAGCTAATGGATCTGTAGTTCGACAGTTTATATACATGATTACTAACTTGTGGATAAAGTTTTCGAACTCATATTACCTTAACAAGTAATTAGTATATTGCATAGGGTAAGAAATTAATATAGACAAAGTTACTAGTTGGCATACATTCACTGTAAGACGTTACTCACATAAATAATCGTGTAAACTAATTGCTCACTTAATAGTAATTATCGTCATGCTACCTAATTTTCAATGGTCAATATTTTAATGTGACTACTGATCATAGGCCAATAGGTATCAATGTCAAGGTTGAACTTGATAGTTTCAAATAAATTAGGCATTGGGTAGAAAGTTAATAATAAATATACTATTTGTGATATCCCAATGAGTTCATTTCGCAAACATTCCAACTTTTATAATTCCTCCTTTTTATAACGTTTTTATTAATCATTAGTCAGTCAGTCAGAAACAACGTAGAACTTCGTACGCACGTACATCAGTTCGAGTTGTCATACCACATTAGCACAAAGATGCAGCTGTCGATTCAAATCCCGTAGTGGTAGAGGTAGTAAGAGTATAAGCAGTTATAGGAAACATTAAGGTTTGAAGATGTTATTCAAGGAGTATAATCCAGTGAAATAAATTTGGAAAGAGAAAAAAGGGACACGAAGAAACCAGAAGATTAAAATTTGGGAAAACTCAAATAGTAAATGCACCTGCGCCATTGAAAACGATTTTGAGCCATGTCACTCAGGGTCTCTAACCATCGGTTGCTATCATCTCGCGGACCCAAACCAGGTTGTCTACACCTACCAACATGACTCAGTCCACTTGTCAATGACTTTATGGACATGTGCCATGTTTTGGTCTGGCCGCCCTTAGCTTTCTTCCAATCTACTCCTATACAACAAAACATCGCACGTCGAGGTAGTCGGTCGTTGGGCATACGTAACACGTGTCCCAGCCATCTCAACTGATGAAGTTTCACTACTTCATCAATTGATTTGCCATCCTTACCTAGTACCCGTTTCCTAACAACTGTGTTACTTACTCGATGGTCGCAGGATATCCGAGCAATGTTTCGAAGACACCTGTGATCGAATACTAGTAACCTACGAATATCCTCTACTCTTACCGGCCATTTTTCACTGCCATAAAGTAGGACGGGACGAACTGCTGCGCAGTAAACACGTCCTTTGGTTGATAGACGGATATCTCGCCTACGCCATAAATCACGCAAGTTGGCAAAAGCTAGTCGAGCCTTCTGTATCCGTGCTGAGATTTCGTCACACACCAAGCCACAAGGGCTGATGAGACTTCCAAGATAAGTAAAGCGGTCGACACGCCCAATTACTTCACTCTGTCATTAGTACAGGTTTTGATGTAACCCAATCCTGAAGAAACATTTTGCATTTCGAGAGGGAGAATCGCATCCCGAATATGCTTGCATTGTTGCTTAGAGTGGTCAGAAGACTGCATTTTGTCAGCGTCTTCACCAAATAAAACTATGTCATCAGCATATTCTAAGTCAACAAGTGAACCTCCCGGTAGAAGTTCAACCCCTGGAAATTTAGACGAGGAAAGTGTTGTCTCTAAAAGCACGTCAACGACAAAGTTGAACAAGAATGGAGACAGTGGACAGCCCTGACGAACACCACGTGAGATAATCAATTCTGATGACAGTTCGCCATAAGCTCTCACTCTACCAGTTGTGTTCGAGTAGAGAGCCTTTATAAGGCTAATGAACTTCTTTGGTACTCCTTTCAGTGACAAACACTGCCATAGAACCTCACGATCAACAGAGTCGAATGCTGCCTTAAGGTCGAGAAATACTACCATTATGGGGCGTCTGAATGTGTGTCTGTTCTAGAACCTGACGTAGTGTGAATATGTGGTCTATACAACCACGTCCAGGTCGAAAACCAGCCTGATTTTCTCTAGTCTGTTCTTCATGAGCTTTACTCAGGCGTCGAAATAACATTGAAGCTAATGTCTTAGACACTATATTAGTCAAACTGGTTCCTCTGTGATTGCCACAAGATGACTTTTGTCCTTTCTTATAGACTGGTACAATCAGTGGTTGAGACCAGTCAGATGGGATTACGTCCAGTTCCCAGATTCTACCTAAGGATTCAGTCAACCTCACTGCTAATACTGAACCGCTATCCTTAAAAATTTCAGTGATAAAGCTTTCAGGGCCTGATGTTCTTTCACGCTTCAGATTTCCTATAGCTTTTTCAACTTTGTAAAGAGTTGAATGACTTACATCAACTTGCCATTCACGTCGACTAATGATCGTGGGAAACCGAAGTGTGGCCGAAGGCCAGTTGGATTGATCCCTAGTGTTCTGCCCATCGATCCAATCTCCTGGATTGAGAATGTATATGTCCATCTTTTTCGGAAATACTTTCGCTAACGGTCGGATTCCTAATACCACTTTCCTTAACAAGTCTGAACAATTGTCTGCTATTACCTATTGCCGTTGCCTTTTCCATCTCTCTTGCTTTCGCTACCCACCACTGTTCGTGATCATTGCGTAGACTTCTTGTCAACTTGCGCTTAAGCTGACTCCGCTCTTCGTTATGTTCGGAGCCAGATGGAATGAGTTCTCGAGCATCTATCAGTACGATAGATGCTGCTGCAATCCAGTGTTTCTCCCTAACCTTCTGGTTTACCGTACTAGCAGATATCACTGCTGTTTCCACAGCTTTTCGGATATCATTCCATGCTGCATCGGGGTGGGCATCACATACATGGCTGCCTAACTGTTTTTCTAGTTGCTTCTGAAATATGCTCTTAGCTTGACTATCATTAAGTAGGACCCTAAGACGTTTCCTTGCAGTGTCTTTCCTACGTCCAGTAAGACGCAGACAGATACGCGCTCGTACTAGAGCATGATCTGAATCTAAGTATGTGCTCCAGAATGAGCGAAAGTCTTCTATCGAGCCCCTCTATCGGTGACTGATAGCGATGTGATCTATTTGGGTCAAACGTTGGGACGAATTTGGAGGTCGCCATGTCATAAAGTGTTTTTCCTTATACTTAAAGTTAGTGTTTTCTAGGAACAGGCGGTTATCTGAGCATGATTGCAACAGACGGTCGTTATTATCTGTTATTTGAGTCACGACACTATAAGATCCACCCAGGTGTCTTTCCCATTCGCTTAGTTTACCTACTTGAGCATTAAAGTCACCAGCCACTATTACTACATCAGAGTGCCCAACTTTTTGGAGGTCGGAGAGCCTTCTGTAAAACTCATCTTTTACATCATCTGAGCTGCAGTCAGTGGGAGAATAGGCAGAGACGACGAAGAGGCAACGACGAGTGTCCCTATCTTCACGAGTCCTTACTGTTCCGTTTAGTCGGACAGCGCACAAACGACTGTCTACTGGGATTTAGTCTAAGAGAGCTAGTTCCGCCCTATGACCCAGTGCTATACCTACACAAACCAGACCTTGAAAAGCAGTATCAGGGTTTCTAGATACAAGAAGCGTGAGTCGAAATGGTTCTTTATTTCGATATGGTGAGGTCAAATGAATGACCTTTTCTAACCCCTTCCTTCCATGTGAGAAAGCAGTATCGCTGCCCATGCTGATTGCTAAGGGAAACACCTTACTTCTGTCACACCCCTCTACAGTCATCAGTACGACTTCACCCTCAGATCTTGAGTTGCTACTTATAGTCTTACCATTCTCCAGTCGACCTGCTTGGCATGGTAGAACCTACAGGAACATATGTTCCAGCTAGTATAGCTCGGTTGGGTCATCACGATAGGCAAGCCCGACCACCATGACAAGGTAGCAGCTACAGTAAGGTTGTTAATCATTATCCATAAGAACATTTGCTTTATTGTGATATCAAGTATGTACACTAATCTTTAATGAATAATACTATTATGTTCAAGTTGTATGCAGCTGATAGGAAACCATGAAATAAAAAGAATTCATGTTATTCTACCACGTTTTTTTGTTCTTGCTCTATTTGAATAACTTGTTTGAACACTAAGATATTGGTGCACTCAAATATACCTTGCTGGTGAGTATTATGACGGATCTTATTAGTAACTTTATCTTTCGAGTACTCCATTTAAATTCTTAACACCAAAACGTCCAATAAGTAGATTATCAATCATCGGATTTCACACAAAAATGAATTGGTTGGTAGGAAAACATCTCGAAACACTATTATTATTATTACTGACAAACACACTATTTCTTATAAAGCATTTAAATTTTCTTTAAGCTATCATATACATAATACCTTAATTTCTAGCATTTGATACGTGTTATAATTTTATTATTTTCATTTCAGTTTTACAATCAGACAATAATAAAAACACATTACCAGCGACTGGTTTATAAGTAACTCCAATTAATCAGGTGTGATATGAACAACTAGTAAATACCCTGAAATAAAGCACAGTAAACCGACTAAGTGATTATACAACATTGTTGGGTTGAGTTATGGATCAATTTAGTAGAGGAAGTACAATGAAATATGAGATTATGAAAATTAAGTCATTAGGAATTTTTAAACAGATGAACCTACTAGTGGATTCCCGCTGAGATCAATGCCTGATACCAATCCATTAGAATAGTATTCCTTTGCTAACTCTAAAGTGAGTAACGCTTCATCAAGACTTTTAGACCTGTCTATAGATAGTATTAATGTCACATATATTTTATTATCAAGTACACTCGGTGCATTCTGTATTCCTCTGATTACCGCATTCAAATAAGAACGATGAGTTGGAATTGGTCGTAACGTAGTCCTCAATTCCAAAAGAATGACGTTTTCTTGATGAAATTCTTCAATAACGGAAGTTGTAGCCTACAATTTAGTGTAGACGTGTAGCAAGTGAAACGAATAATAATTATTGTAAAACCCATATATTTTTATATGGAAATTCATGTCACACCAACAACATGTACAAACAAACGCTTTTAAGGGTCAGGAACACAAAAACAATGCAAAAAAAACAAAGTTAATGTTAGGAAAGATTAATTTGGTGGCTAGAGAACTTAATATTTGAACAGAACCTGGCTAATGCCATTTAACCTAATTTTCAGGAAAAAGACTTTTACACTCTGAAACAATTTCAACTGAAGAATCATATAGATAATTTTGATGTATCATTTTGTGGTACTTCAAATACAAATCCTGTTGAGATGTTTTTCTGTACATTTTCTTCGCAGTGAAAAACCATACATCTGCATCATAATGTTTCAAAAACTCCTTGATTATACTCCACACTATAAAGATCTAAGTTATCAGTCAAATTAAAATCAATTACATGAAATGAACTTCAGGAACTAAACGAGAATTTTTCTCGATTAAAATAAAACTACGAAAGAAATAACTTGACATTCGGATATATATATATATATATATATATATATATATATATATCGAAGGCTAATGTAGAATAAGATCCATAACCTGACTACACTGAGGGAAATCAGCAGAGCTAAGAGGTGTAGTACATCCATCGGTCATATAATAACCCATATTAACTATGAGAAGGCAATATAGTTAGATACTCTCTCAACAAGCCTCTCTTGATATACTCCACTACAGTCACCAGTACAATTTCATCCACAAAAATATTACCATCGAACAACTAGTGTTGAAGACGGGTGAAAGAAAGCCGGGGCGGCCAGACTAAAACGTGGTATCAGTCCATAAAGTCACTAACTTCCGGTCTAAGCCATGTTGGTAGACGCAGACTACTTGGTTGGGGTCTGCGCGACTATCTTAACCAATGGTTGGAGACTGTGTGACAGAACCGATCACAACGGTGTAGGTGTATAAACTCTCTGTCCTGCCTTGAACCGTGAGATTAAAATTACTTTATATCTCCCTTTCTATGAACTAATTCACTCTGCCTGTATCATATCCTTATATGCAATCCTTCTTTACATATTACTGCCATCGAAGAAACTACTGTGAATTTGGTGTTTGTTTTGTTGTGCTGATGAGGTGTGGCAACTTGGACCGTTGTATATATGTACCTGGTCCTACGTTGTAACAGACTGACTGGCATGTTTATCAAAGGGTAAATAAACTATTATATCAAAAATGCATACTCTCTCCAAAATCTCTGGTGTTTCAATTAATTTGTGGATTGTTCGGAAAGCATCAAAACACCTACATACATAATTTTAAAGGTAAGTAAAACTCCATAATTACCTATTCATATCCCCGTTCCATGTTTCAAAATCAAAACTTGGATTAATGTTCTGAACATCACGGTTGGTAATTGATTCACGCTTCAAAAACGCCGAACTAATACTCCCAGAAAGGTGGGCATGCAACTCCTAATCATTAATATATGTGTAATCAAATCTACATACAATTTTCGGTAAATTGTGGTAAAAACTGTTCATGCCGATTTTTTACGTCCACTAAATGCTTTGTGATCACTGTTGGCTGAGAAACATGAAACGATAACTGGAGATGAGTAAGAGTTCGTGACTAACAGAAAATTAAATGTCCAGATCAGCTATTTTTCATAGAATCAAGGAGAGCGAGAGCTCTGAACCTAAAGCTCGTTTTGAGCATGACATTGTACTGATTAGGCAGCTGATAATCAACTCATGCCTCAAAATATGACCGGGGTCACCTTGCTAAAGGTGTACCGACTAGGGAATCTAGCGGACTCGAAACCAAATAATTCCAGACTGCTTAAAGTAGTATTCGGCTCTTCGAACGAACGTGACCTAATTTTACAAAATGGACACAAATTAAAGGGTTCAGGAGTCTTTATCCGAAAGGACCTACCGTTGGCAGACCGTGTTAAAAGACGGGAAGCCGAGAAAGAACTACAACTTAGGTTAGACGCTGGCGAAAAGGACCTGAAAATTGTAAATTTTCGGGTTGTAAGACTTCGACAGAGAATGATGCCGAAGGCACTCTGGGTGGAGCACGAAGGCACTTAAACAGGCTTCGGATCTGTTACACCAATGCACGAAGCTTACTTAATAAGCGATCGGAACTAGGTGTACAGATTGACTCTACAAAGCCAGACATAATCGCAGTAACAGAAACCTGGCAGACACAGGCTATATATAGTATGGAACTTGATTTCGAGGGTTTTACGTTAGTAAGGGCCGACAGAACACAAAAGCGCAAAGGAGGGGGAGTAGCTCTATTCATTAGGAATGCTATCCCATTTGCCATTATCGATAGTGTATCCCATGAGAGTGGGACGTGTGAATTAGTTAGTCTTCGCCTAAAATGCAAAGGACAAGAGCTGCTGATTGGTTTGGTCTATCGCAGTCCAAGCTGTGAGGCAAATGAGATCCTGTTAAGCAGTCTCAATACTTGGTCCCAAAGTGGTCGATGTCTAATCCTAGGGGACTTCAATGCACCTATAGTAGACTGGGAAAATCTGCGAACTAAATCGTCGGAGAATTCTTTCGAGCAGGAACTAGTTGATGGGGTTATCACATGTGCTCTAGTGCAACATGTGAAAGAAGCGACAAGGTACGACTCGGACACTGAATCATCCTTATTAGATCTTATGCTGACCCACTATGAGGATGATGTTGCGAACCTCCATCATATGCCACCCCTAGGTAAAAGTGACCACGCAGTTTTAACTTTCGACTTCCATATAACTGCCGGTCACCGGATCCTCTCGGAGAAGCAGCACGGCTTCAGAATAGGTTATTCTTGTCTCACTAACTTGTTAGTGGCTTGTGAAAGCTGGTGCGCTCTTAAGGATCAAAAGCTACCTGTAGACGTCGCCTTCATTGATTTCAGTAAAGCTCTTGACAAGGTTCCGCACAACCGGCTGTTATATAAGTTAAGAAAAGTCGGGATTGGAGGCAATTTATTGATGTGGATAAAAGACTTCTTAGTTGGGCGTCAACAACGAGTAAGGGTGAACTCAAAGTTATCTAGCTGGGAAACTGTGCTTAGTGGAGTGCCCCAGGGTACAGTTTTGGGGCCAGTGCTATTCCTCTTGTATATAAATGACCTTCCTTGTCTCCTATCATCATCGGTCTTGCTGTTTGCTGACGATGTCAAGATATGGAAAACGATACGACGTAAGAGTGATAGCTTAGAACTTCAAAATGACCTGAAGAAGTTATCTGAATGGTCTCAAACATGGCAGTTGCCAATAAATACTTCCAAGTGTGTTGTGATGCATATTGGTTATCAAGGCAGATACATACACGATGAATAACACTGAGCTACCTGTCGTCCAGACATATAGTGACTTAGGAGTTATCGTTAGCCAAGACTTAAAGACTACTGCACACTGCCGTGCAATAGCCGCCAAAGGTTTTAGAACGTTATGGTCAATACGTAGAGCTTTTAGTCATGTCGACGCTAAAACGCTTTTAACTTTGTATGCAGTGTTCGTACGTCCTAAACTTGAGTACTGCATACAAGCGGCTAGCCCCTGCTTAAAAAAGACAGTGAGCTTCTGGAAAAGGTTCAGAGAACGGCGACTAAGCTGATTCCCGGAATAGCGAAGCTTCCGTATGAATCTCGACTGGCCAAGCTGAACCTTTTCCCGTTGTCATATCGCAGAACTAGAGGCGACTTGATTACAGTCTACAAATTGCTTAGTGATAAATTTGCACCTGATATACCCCATTTTTCTTATCTTCCAAAACAGAGAATTTACGAGGACACTCCAAAAAAGTTCATAAGCCGAGAACAAATTACTTGTCAGCTGACTATCGACTTTCCCATCGAATCAGCAACGAGTGGAATTCACTACCTCAGCATGTGGTTGAGGCTCTATCCGTCGACTCTTTCAAAAGAAAGTTGAATCAACTGAGAGACCACCATTGCCAGGACTAACATAGGCCATCGAGCCTCCTGTCCTTTCCAAACTGTAACTGTAAGATCAATACTACTAAAAGTGCGCTTCAGTTATAAGCAATGTAGATACATTTCAGGCTTAATTGTGATTAACTCCGAGGCATATCACTTAACATCTTCAACTGTTGGTTTATATCACCAAAAATTCAGTTGTTGAAGTAACCTTTTTCTTTGATCACAGTCGGAAATGACTAAGCCAATGAGATCTCAACCTCGGGGTTGAGTAACAAAAAGATATGGAGCCAGTCCATAGCCACTAATTGCTGGTTAAATATATATATATATATATATATATATATATGTGACAGTAAGACTATAATTTATGGACGACCTTTGAGCGACGCTAAAGTAACCCTGAGAATGTCCATTTAATGATTAGAACCAAATGAGAGTCATAATCCAGTGTGAGGAATTAGAATTGTGATTTGCAGTTCATGGTTTATGTCAGGAATTAGATTTAGGGTTTTCATCACGAACTGACATTAGCTACAACGCCAAAACTGTACTTAGCGGATGAGTGAATTTCGCGCCAAAACCCGAGACCTGTTGTCTTATTCCTCAAATGGTCTGTAGTGGTAAATAAATCCTCACAATAAATAGCTCTGTAAATCCTCGACATTGGAGCTGACCACATTAGTTTCAATGGACTCACTTAGCTGAAGGCGCTCGGTCACGCATCCACACCAGATCATGAGTGGGAACGCTGTGATCAACTTCTCCTGCAACCGCTAGCCAGTTTAGATCAGTCACTTGTCGATATATTGATAGCTTGTCAAGTATATCTTCGGACCCCATCGCTTCTGACCTCTGATTTCACTGGGTGTGCACGTTTTTATTACAGAAGTTGTTACTGGTCAGGGTGTTGTCAAACTCCAAAATACTTGTGTCATCTTTAGTTATGAGCCCGGTGTGATCTGATACACCAACTCGTTGACTGTGATTCTTTCCCATTTCAAAACTTTATATATCATTTCTTTATTCTAATTGTTATATATTGCGGTACTTTTTCGTATTATTGGACATTTCCCCCCTCGTTCATTCCTATACTTTATATTCGTCATTACTGAACAGACTCCTAAGTTACTTAAGATCACTACCCCTACACAACCCTCATTCCAGCTAATGCCATTCTGGCCTGACGATATCGAAGCCTGATTCTGCTGCTCAGAGGCTGATTTCTACGAGCACGGCGTGACCGGTCCTTGTGCACGATTCTTTGCAGTAATAAAGGCACTATCACCACGAATTCAACAGGTACGTCACACCTAGCATATTTACTAGTGATGTTTTGGGGCCTTATGAAACTCTGAAAAGATCTATTCTTAAACGCAGAGACCTAACCAGTCGACAAAAAGGTTGGATCAATTCCTCGATAACATTGATATGCAACATGGGTCAGTACGAACATGTTGTTACGAATCAGAGAGGTAATTGATCAAAGTACTTTAAGAACCATCCGGCCATCAGACAGCTCATGGGCATTACTCTTGCACATGGTCCCCGAACTGATCGTTTACTGGACGACACTTCGACCATTTGGGAAATTCGTGGATCCTCCGTCGATTTCAAGGAATCGCCATCTAACTCCTACACAACCACCATGACAAATGCTGTGCGTCCAGTTTAACCTGTTTACACCATATATCAGTCGGCCGATGTTATCGTCTGGTTCGTCTTACAACTTGTACGCACGTTTTCAAATGTCGCGATCCATTACAGTGAACCATAGAAACGGCATACGAAGGATTCCTAAAAATATTGCAGCGCTAAGCTATGTACTATATCACCTATACGGACGAAACTAGAGAAACACCAGTATCGACCGTCTTAAAGCCGTTTACCTAGAAGGGAACCGTAAATACGTTTACATTTTTCCCGAACAAACGGACGAATTAAAACTCACAACTACTATGACCTCCATGATTATTAACGACCACTTCAAAACCTGTCTGATATCCGACAATTGACTCAAAATGACAATCTCTGAAAGAAGGATGAGACTTCAAAAACACTGGATGTGAGATATTGTCTTATTTTTAATTTTGTCTCACCTTGTGCATCCCGCAACTATTTGGCTGTAATTTCAACGTTTCATATTATCGTGTCAAATTAAAAAAATCGTTTTTGTGATATGTTTACATATAGGCATATTGAGTTTTTAGTAAAACAATAATAAATCCTTATTTCAAAATTTTCCTTCGCATGATATATGCATGCATACATACCGGATTTTTCACGTCTTATTTCCTTATACAATTAAGAATTTATTGTGATATTTAATTACGTCTCCATTCCTTTCTTTTGCAGGACGACCGATAATTTTTATGGAACGTTTCTTATTGCTATGTTGTACTACATGGCTTTATATATTGGTGAACGGCGACCAGATGCTGATGGACAGCAAGCTATCAGATTGTGTGTATGCCAACGACACTTGTTGTGTTTAACCTTCTAGCTGACTTCCATTGCTCGTGATTCCTTACCAGAATGTTCTGCCTTTGATGAGTGACTCTTGAAGTAGTACTTCGTGATGGGCTACAAGTACGATTGATTTATCATAGCTACGTAGGCTACTCATTGTGTTAGATGCCATTATTAGGTTACCGATAATCCCTCTGTAAACAGTAGAAAATTGTCCTTTTCAGTAACGTTATAACTCAGACAGAGAGTTTCTTAACCTTGTAGTCTACTACAGTAGCATCAAGATCTTCTAATGAACTGAAGTATATCACTGAAATGGGCTCGGGTCCTAGTAGTTGCCACTGGTATCCAGGTTTTCTGTAGAAAGTACTTACTTAGGGTTAAAAGAAGACGTAGGATACCTATTGTTTCTCTGGCGTATAAAAGAACGTCATTTGTAACCATTAATCCCAAAATTTAAGCTTTTCTTTCTTGCATACGTCCCCCGTTGAACTAGATCTTTGTAGAGCTTTTTTGAATCCTTCACATATCTGATGGACTCTCGCACATTTATGAACTTGCATAGGTAACGATTACGAAACTGAACAGGTCACTCATTGGCATTATGAGTAATAGGGGGCTTATGATCGCTTCCTGTGGCAACTCAAAAAGCGCTCCTGTCTAGCTTAAAGGCATCTTGTCAAACATGATGCAAAACCATCGGTCTTATTGATGATTTTTTGGTAGGAACGTTCTGCGTTTGCAAATCCCATATATGATAACGTGGCAGTACAACATTGCGTACCACCGAGTCAAACGCTCTGGTCAGGTCAAGAAATGGTACATCTACAAGCATGATTTGTTATTAGCAATTTCTCTGAGTACCTCATCCCAATACATCAATCGAAGCACTAATTTCCATTACTTAAAACGCATTCAGTACCGTGGAAGTTTTTTTCCCGGTAAACGAACCCTGTCGTTTGCTGCTTCAACGCCGATCCCGTTAATATCAATTTAGATAGCTAACCATAGCTATGGTCTTTAAATTGATCGCCACTCAAACGTATAGAGAGCATATGGTATTTAATGTAGACATATTAAGTGTATATGATTGTATACTCATCTTAGAATAAGATACGTGAATTAGCACATGACTCTCGAATGCATTACTTCAGTTCTACTGTTTAACTTGTGCTCGTTTGTGTGAGCGAATCGAATGCCTCACATGAATCCCTCCAGTATCTTTGTTTGACTACCTGTATTTCTATCGGTCTGTTAATTATATTCCATCGTTATATTGTTGTAAAATTGCTTGAGAGAGGCTGACTAAGTGACGATATGGATAGCATGAATTCATCTCAATACAATGAAGATTAAACTGGTCCAATACAGTCCTGGATTTATTTCACTATGATAAAACTACCAGATATTCTACGATCAGCGCCAATTCAATTAATTGCGATTGCTAGTGATTTTAGGTGTCGGTGTCGAGATAAACCCGATCCAACTACTAGGAGGTCTAATTCTGACGATAATACAATCCTGCTATCATTTCACTCTACTGTCATCCACTCACTCCTATTACACCGTACGTGCTGATCGGTTTAATTGCCTATATATATATATATATATATATATATATATATATATATATATATATATCGTGCCTTAAGGTAACCCTTGTGTTATTGATAGAAGAAAGCAGACAAGTAGTGAATATGTCAAACAAAGCCTCTCAACATTCAACATAAGATAATAGGGAATATAACACCTATACAAAATAAGGAAGTGAATAAACACTTGAACTATACTGTTCAGGCATATGCTTTGTTGTTTGAGGTCAAATCTTAACCAAGCAACCTAAGCTGTTAAATATATATATATATATACTGAGGAACCCTTGCATTCTGGTTTCTACTTCAGTCATTTGTCCTTGGTCAACAAGTGTAGACGTAATGGATACAACATTGGACCTATTTTCTCTACGCTTTTGGTAGTTAATAGCAGCTCAATCAATCTTCAGATAGATTGCCACTTCTCTGCTAATGCGTATTGCTTTAGGATGGTTATTTGCACGTTCCTGTAGCACAGCAACTTGTTGAGTTTCATCCTGAATAGTTTTGCAATAACTAATTCAGGGGTTATTTGAACCCTGTCTTACTACCATGCCTGATACAGGGAAACTTATTTATATATTGTTGAGTGTAACGAATATTTCTTCGAGTGCGCCTCAACGACTTTAAAGGTGATGAGAGATTTGCTTTGGGCCTTCGAGATAAAAAAGCTTATTTGTTTTACGAAGCCGTAATCGCTCATGGTAGCGAGTAGTTAGAAGTAGTTCAAAAGTTCTAGTATTCCGGTCGCTGTGCAAATGCAAGGAGTAGCGAGAAAGATGAGATTAATTCTAGGTAGTGAAAGCCATAGAGGCCTATGCCAATCTGGGCCATCTTTAGCGCCCTTGTGATGTTAATCTGAATGTGGAAGGTCGGATATATAATACGACGTTGAGAGCAGTTTCGTTCTATGCTCTATGAGGGTGTCAAGTGGCTCTCTGTGTTTGATTGTCGTTGTCTTCGAAGTATTGCTAACATCCGGTGCCAACACCATGTTGGTAATAAGAGGGTTAGGCAACGCACGTTCGGGCACAATGACGATAATTTACTTGGTGTTACTAGCTTAAAACACCGGTGGCTCAAACATATCTTACGAATGTCGTCCCAGACAATTCAACATTGTTGATTATTTGCTGACGCCAAGACTAGTTGAAAACAGTGGTGTTCGTCTCATGGCACATTCCCGTGGTACGAAAGGGACCGTACACGACTAGCACCTCTCAGTCCTTCACAGCTCTCTGATTGATGTGCTGGAGATGGAGCAACCGTGGCTTAGGAGGTTGTCAGACATGGCTCACAACAGAAGCCATTGACAATCCAGCTATGATTTCCTTCCACTTTCTTCGTAAAAGGTGAGAGGAACATTTTTATCCTCAAGAATTCTTTTTGATTGCGTTTTTTTAATCAGGCTGTTTCTATTATTACTCGTATTCAGTTGTTGTTTTTTACCATACTCATTTCAGTTTTTCTAACTCTTTACAATCTAGTTTTCTCATTATGTGGTGTGTATTTACTTTAGGGCATCTTTGTACC